CTGAGCCTCAACAACATCTGCATTTGTTGGTTCTTCTGAGGTGGACTTCAGTTTCTTCTCTTCAACAACTCGCTGTGAGGGAGGTCTCCCCCGGATGGACTGAATGATGTCACCCACAGACTGAGAGCTGAGACGGGTTTTAAGCCTCTTGACAAACCGTTACACCGCACCCGCCTGTCAAGCTGGTCAGCTACACGCCTTATTGTGAATAACTCTTATCCTTCATCAAATCAAAACTGATGAGTCATCAAAACATTCACCCCCCGTACAGTGTGTGTCCATCGAGACATGAGCTAATCACACCTATTTGTTTGTTTTGTACCAAGCTGTAAACATGTTCATCTCTGCTGTAAAAACAGACTTTTTTTAATGTTGTTTTTCAGATTAAATAAATATTTATATATAAATGCACTCCTTTATGTCTACTTATGAGTATACATTTCAGATTTGAAATGACAAGACTAAAATGTGCATTAATGCTCAACTCAACAGCTTAGGGAAGGAAGTCTACTTTTACACAACTTCTTATTCTTTTGATAAATACTAATGTAGTTCATTTCTGAAAGTGGGATGGAACAGAGTCATTGCAAAAATGTGTCCTTAAACACAGCCCCATTCTTAAATCAAGATACATGGAGAGTAAATAAGATCAATAACTTGTGAATAAAAACACAGTTAAAATGATTTAGAAATGTAGTCTTCCCTGATCTATATCACATAATATCAACTTCTCTTCTGCTGTCTTATCTGCTGGCCATCTTCTCTCAGCAGAACTTTGACTGTTGAAAAGTCATTCTGAAGAAGCTCGAGCATGTGACATGGATCCAGGAGAACATGGACTTTTAGTGCGGGGTCTTCAGGATGGCAAAGAAAGAGAGAAAATATCAGTTATTCATTAAATCATTTTTTTGTTCTCATCTATTTTTCTGTATTCATCTGTGTGTAAGAGCACATTTATAAATTCAACAGTGTACTACCCAGACAACAAAGGTACAGTATTCAGGTAATCAACATCTATTCAAAGTGAAGAAGATAAACCTTATTGTAATCATGCTATTTTCAGCTCTCTCACTCACACAATGATATTCCACATCAAATGGTCTCAGATTTTGTGAGGAAAAATTAAGCAATTTATTGTGGATAGTACTTCATCTTAACATGGAACAAATATAACCTGAATTATTTAAATCATTAACAGGTCCCAACTCTCTGTGCTTTAGTACAGAACATACAGTAACTCATTTATTATTAACATGAGCTCAGTACATGGCTGTATTCTTCAAACTATTTCTTATACTTTATATCTATGTGCTTTATATCTTATTTTCATTCCACATGTTATTTATATTTTATATTTCTACTGCTATATTTTGTGTATGAGTTCAGTGAAAATTAATATGGTTATTAATGGTTACAGATGCTCTTACAAAGTGCATTTTTTTAAAAATTTGTTAACAGTTTGCTCAAATCTTAAGACACTACATCAACCATGTAACTTTAATGTCATCCTCTATAACCTACACAGCACATTAGGTTCAGTTCAGTTTATGTTACTGACGGATAATTACTACACAAAGTTTGTTTTTCAATGTTGACATTTATGTGGAGTATAACATTCATCATAACATCAGATAACCACCGAGGTGAACCTTTAGCTTCTAACATCACACAAACTCATTATTTTCAACAGCAACATCTTAACAACAAACATTTCTAAACCATTGACCGTAAATAATGTAAATAATGAGCTACACAGTTAGCCGACTGGTTTACAAGCTAACGCTAAACAAGCTAGGTCCGTAAATATAAATAAACACTGAGTAAGCAGTAAATATAACACTACTATATCACTTACCGAAAAAAACTGAAGCATCAACTTGTTGGATGGTCTGTTAACCGCACAGCAAGCCATGTATGTTGTCAGATATGTGTTAAACAAACTCTCCAAACGAAGTAAAAAAGAGGAGAAATCAGACGGATCAAGCTGTTAGCCTCCTGACCTGACACAGATGCAGCGCGCAGAGCTGTCAATCAAATCTGACACAACCCTTATATGGGCATAGTCGTTTTCCTTAATAGAATAAAATCCGATGAGTTATAAAAAAAATCCCCCCCCCCACAGTGTGAGGAGAAGGGGCCGTCAACTTATCAGATATATCTCGTTTTTTGAACCAGGCTGTAAACATGTTGATTCCTGTGGTAAAAACAGGTTTTTTTGGCTGTGGGCTTATGGCACTTCCGGCGCTTCTGCAGCCAGCCTCAAGCGGAACCTCGAGGAACTGCAGTTTTTTGTACTTCCGCATAGGCTTCATTTTTCGAGACCGGAGACCGGAGACCCCTTGGTTGTGACGCCTTTCATTGACAGAGTGTAGTGGGCGGGAGGGAGTGTAGACCTGGATCAGAGAGTTAAAGTAAGGAGGAGCAGCAGGGTTTTAAATGTGATTTGAGCAGTAACTGTTAGCCAGTGGAGAGAGATGAACAGAGGAGTGACGTGTCCTTTTATTACTGCTGATACAGAATCAGATGATACACTTGTTCATGTTTAAACTTTAACAAAACACACTGAAACAATGAAGTACAGTCATCTAAATGTTAGATTTACTCAATCAGTTCATAATTCCCCATCACATTTTCTTTATACATTCTTTTAACCTGAGTAACTTTTTATATTATTATCCAGAGAGGAGTCCATAGTTTCACTCCATGTACTGAAATATTGGTTGTAATGTAGTACGTGTTTCTGGACTTATACCCCTGTCTTTGATCCTCCTCATTGGACACAAACATGGAGATCGTCAGGTAAGAATCTATTTCTGGATTTAATTATGTTTTTAAAATCAACTACTAGATCTTTAAATGTCAACACACATGAGACTGTTTGTATGTTCTCTCTAACATTCACATAGTTTATAAGTCTCATTTCCATTTTTCTGAAACACATACAAAGGTTTTAGTATAATACACGTGTTGCCCCACACATCAGTACAAAAACTGAAATATGGAAGTAGCAGTATACATTATATTTCCTAATTTATTTACGCTTTAAAATTGTCCAATAGCTCCTGGATGTCTCTGTATGGATCAAACCGCAGTAATCATCAGTAATCATAGACGGTTTACATCGACTTGTTCACGTTACAAATACGTCAGGATCCTCTTTTTCCCATGGTATTATATTTACATTTTAACACAATGAGATACAGCTTTTTAAATTCTCATTGTATAGGTCTAAGTGTAAAATGACTGCATTAACCAAAGAAACAAAGAGACAAATAGACAGAGAAAAAAGACAAAAAATCAAGATCAAAGAGCAGTCAGGAGTCCTCTTGACAACTTGTTGCTAACTCTGAATATCACAACAATGTTTATTTCCCTTTTTATCTGAAGCTGCAGTCCCCTGTTCAATGAAGCATAAATAAAATCACCAGTACATGGGAGAAGGATGCTCGAAAATCCAACCAAGCAAGAAAGAGTGGTTGAAGGTATACTGTGAAATAAAATGTATAGAATCCTTCATAGGACACAACATACAGCTGAGTTCCTCATTAAGTGTAGCTCCAACAAATCGCCTCTGAAAAATAATAGCAGAACAAGGTGGGAACTTATTTTCCCTTATGATGGTAATGTCCTATGATTGCACATTGTTGGAAACATGTTTAAAAAAGAGCTCTGTAAAATCTTAGACATGGAAATTAAATTGTAACCTGCACTGTTTATGACGGGGTCCCACGAGAAGGACTGTACAGAGGTACAGAGAACTATAAGAAGACGGAGCCAGAGTGAAGTCGCCCACTGGTTACTGCGGGGGGGGGGGGGCTCTGGAAGCCTGTCAGTGGCTGTCTCCACGTTGGAAACTCTGTCTCAACCAAGGGGGGAAACCTACATTGTTGATAAATGAAGCCAAAGGTGGAAAGTGCAAAAACCTGCTGTCCAGTGTCTGGACACTAAAACACAGCAGACATTAACATGTTTGCAGCCTGCTTCAACAAACAAAATAGGACTGATTAGCTTATGGTTGATCTGCACATACTGTACGGGGGATGAATTTTTGGATTACTCATCCATTTTTATTCTATGAAGGATATGAGTTATGCACAATTAAGGGCGGGAGAGATCTGAATGCACGTGGCTGTGATGTAGGGGTTTCTCAGTAGGCTTCAGGCTCAGCTCCAGCTCTTGTTAGGTTGACTGAAATTTAGGCTGAGACAGCATTTACAGCATTGTGACCGCAATCAGCGGGCTTCCAAAGCCCATCTGCAGTAACAGCTGGGTGATGTCACTCAAGCTCCATTTATTTTTTTACTGTCTATGGTCTCAGCCTAACTTTCAGTCAAACTAACCACAGGTCAACAGCTGGAGCTGAGGCGGGTCTTAAGCATCCTGACACTCTACATCACGCCCACCTGTCAATCACGTCAGCTTCATGCCTTCTTATGAACATCTCTTATCCTTCATTAGATCAAAATGGATGACTGATAAATAAAAGATCAGTACAGTGTGTGCCGATAGCGACATGAGCTAATCAGCCCTTTCTCGTTTTATGAACCAGGTTGTAAGCCTGTTGATTTCTGCTGTTAAAACGGGTTGTTTTTATGTGTGTGTGACTTCCGGTGCCTCTGCAGCCAGCCTCAAACGCACACTCAACGAACTGCAGGATTTTTCCTCCTCCGCATCGGCTTCATTTTTAAACACCTGATTTTTCTGTTGTCCAGGTTTGAAAGCACGTTTAACTCGTATTTATTTTACAGTCAATGCTTTTATTCTGAAAATCCTTGTCACTGAACACACCGGAAACGCATTTCTTCCTGTTTACTGTTAACTTTTTGCCATAATGAACTGACCAATCACAGCGAAGTTTAGCGGCTCTGTTGAAGTGCACTCGTTTTGTGTACTGTAAAGTGCCGGTGTGGGGTGGGCGGGATACATCACAACTAACGAGATACCAGAACTAACCCCGCACTGAAGGCGAACTGGACGACTCGGGACCCAAATCGAGCTCACCCGGAGTGAACGCTTCCTCTCAGTTGTCAACAACAAGTGTGAAGGGAACAGAGAGTACAGCTAGCTAAACATACTCGGCGACAAAAATCAGATATACAAGGAGCTGAACATTTCAGGTAGGTTGCTCAAGTTGACTGTCTCTCTGCCGTTGCTAACGTTACCTTGGTTACCAAGTTGTACTAATAGTTGACTAGTAGCGGAAGCATTAGCTGTGTTTATAATGTTACTTTCCTCCTGTTATCCACAGCTACACAGACAACAGCTGTGTCACTAGCATCAGCTCGACTCATTAGTGTGTGAACTGACTCAGACTGTAATCATTATTATGTTGTTAACAAAGTGTAAGCTTGGCAGTGTCGCATGATCATCCTCCTTGTCCGTCATTGAATGGCATTGTGACTCCTGCAGCTCCTGCATGAGCTAATGGTGCCTTCACGTGATGTAGGACACATTGGAAAAAATAGTTTCCGAGTTGTAAAATGTGCATGAACACCTGCTCAAGTCGGAACAACAACTCGGAAACTCGGAAAAGAATTAGATGCCCGACTTGCCAAAATATGATTTGTCAATGTTAACATACATTTTATTAATTCACGTATTGCACATTGAAATTACAATGTAATCTTTGTAGCATCAACACTGTTTCTTGCTGTTGTTACAACATTCATGTGAACATATTGAATTTGAATGGACGACTTCCCAACTCGGAAACTTGGACCACCTGAGCAACACATGAATGCACCATTGTGGCCCTTGTTATCTGATTGCTATCTTTGCACTTATTGCAGCTACAGATTTTTCTCATTTACTTTGGCTCAATTACTTCTCTGAACTCTCTGAACTGTTTCACAACCGATTCATTCAGGCAAACTGCACATGTTTTGGTACATGAGTGAGAAAAGATGTTCTGTGTCTTTCCACAAGTGAAAGTGTACATCGTGTTTATTTCTAGTACTATTTTATAACCACGGTCTCTTTCTTCTCTTTACTTACTGTAAATATCTTTGTTTTTAACATTTTGCTGATCCTATTTCTCTTTTTTGAGCTGTTGTAACATCCTAAATTCCCCCCAATGGGTGATCAATAAAAGTTCATCTTATCTTATCTTATCCTGCACAAAAAGCACTCCTCCTACCTATTGATTATAACTGAAAAGGTTATTCTCCGTCAATGTGTCAAACTCTTCACAACCTCTAATACTGGACAAATGCTGCATTCATGTGCTGCCCGGGTGGTCCAAGTTTCCCAGTTGGGAAGTTGTTCTTCCAACTTCATTTGATTTCAGTTCAGAAAGTCTGAATGTTGTAACAGCAGCAAGAAACAGCATGGATGCTGTGAAGAAGATCAGTGAAATGTAAATGTTCCAATTGTATTTAAGCAAAAAGTTGATGTGCAGTACATGAATTAATAAAAAGTATGTTGATGTTGATTCTGACGTCAAGTCGGCAAGGCGGCCACCAAATCATTTTCTGAGTTTCTGAGTTGTTGTTCTGACTTGAGCAGGTGTTCATGTGCATTTTCCAACTCGGAAACTTGTTTTTTTCCGATGTGTCCTACATCACATGAATGCACCATTACACCTCACGACTTTTTAAGTGATTTTAAAGTGGCAGACATGTTTCAAAAGTGTGACTAAAAAACAATGAGTTTTTCTAGAGTTGAGGCACCATCTCATGTTGATCGTTTGCCGTCAGGTGGTCATAAAACTCAGTCCGAGGTCCTTTTAAGGCGGTCATTTTCTCATCTTGGTGTTAAGTTAAAATCCGACATGTTTAATAATATCTCAGGTCTCTTAAGTATTGTCTTGTGCAAATTGTGTTGTTCAATGATGTGACCGTAGTAAACAACCATCAGGCACCAAACAGGACGCTGGAAACTAGTAAACATGGCGGGGAGGCGAAGAAACGTTTGGTTCTCCTGGACTGTGAAAGGAGGAGGAACTGGTGAAGAGAGCGAGAATGTCCTCTACCACCATAGAGAGGAGAAGGAGAAACGGGGGACACAAATTTCTGTGGCTCTTGAAATCCACGGTCCTCATCAGGGATTTCATCCCTCGAGATCCCATGTGACTTCCCCTGATGGTAACCGGGAATATGAACTCAATCATTGTTCTCTGGATTTCGAGGGGCACAGGGATTTCTATCCTTCTTTTCTCCCCTAATATCTCCCCCAAATCCAGTTTAGTAATTCCTCCCCTAATAAACTAGATATGCTCTGCTCCAAAGTTGTAGTTGAAAATTTCCACCACGTGCATGATGGGAAAGAACCCCATAAGGATTCCCGTTGTAGTCTTGCAGACCTTTGACCCTGTAAGATAAGTGTTTTTGCCAAACACATCACACAATGACAAAACAACTTTTAATTTTGGTGGCCTTGACCAATTTACTGACTTAACAACTCTTTTGAAACAAGAATGAAATGTTTTGGGTGAATTATGACCTTTTGTAGACATGTTATAATCAGGAGTTTTGATGTCTCCATTCCTGTTAAACAGTTGTGACAATTGTACTTTCAGTTTAGAAAATGAAACAGACAGACTGTTTTGAAAATAAGCCAAGTCATTGAGGAAAAACTGTAAATGAATGCTAAAGATAATACACCTGTATGAAACTACGTCTAATGAACTTTATTCTTCACAAGGTTACACACAGCATGAACTCTGAAAGGCTCATTTGTCTTCTCTACAGTCAAGTGCATCATGTAAGTATCCCAATTATTCTAGCTGTGCTTTGTGATGTTTATGTTTAAGGACATAGAACAAATTAAAGTTGCCCTCTATCAGATGATAAAATGTTCCCCCTATGAACACAGAATCAGAAATACTTTATTTATCCTCAGGGGGATATTCAGAAATTCAAAGTATTCAAACTGTTTAGGCTGCTTTAGTGATTTATTTAAAGGATCAATCTGTAAGATATATAGTGAGTGAAATGATAAAGGTATCTTACTATATAATCAGACATTAATGAAACATACTATGTTGAAGTGCTGGCTTCTCTGACAACAATGCATCAGCCAGTATGTCCTCCTTCTAACTTTAGATTCTGCTCCTGAATGCTCTGGATTTGTTTGGACCAGAGAAGGTAGACAGTTTTAAGACACCCCCCACACTGCCGTTTTGGACGCCCCTCAGTTTGCCAGATATGAGAGCAGTTATCAGGTCAACAGGTGTTGCAGCGATGGGAGATAAGTGGTTCAGATAGAAGTGATTGTACCCGACCTAAAAAGCCTCTGCATGTTTCTAATAAGCTCCACGAGCAGAAACGTGCTCAAACTAGGATCAATATTGGAGATGCTTTTGAAAAATGGAGAGAGGTTAGAACACAGAAAGGTTTACAGACCCATGCAGAGCTGGATAAACACTGAAGCTTCAGTGTCCACCACATGGTGACCTGCGTGAGCATCGACTCCAAAGAGGAGGGGGAGACAGCTCTCTACAATGTTTAGAATTTAGACTGCAGTACCCATTTTAAACACTAGGGGTCAGAGTTACATATTGCTCGTTATCTTCATCCGTAGCAATCTTGTTTCACATCAGATGTCTTCTTTCTGACTCTTCTAACAATCACTCTTTTCCTGTTTTCTTCTCTTTGTCAGACACAACAAAGATTTTGAGGCAAATGTGGATCGAGTAAAAAAAAAAAAGAAAACAGTCATCAACCCAAAAAAATACATCCATGTGTATAATCTTCTTGAAGTTTGACCCCCGGCCTGCATCCAAAAATGCCTACAGGTAAGGATCCTGTCATAAATGCTGATGTATACAGAGAATCTGAGTTTATATCAGAAGGTTTTATCTTTTCAGGTTAATCATTCCCACAGTATCTCAGTTTTTATCAGAAATGTAGATGTAACGATCCACTTTCTTTCCAGTCCGATATGATTTCTGATGCATATGTACCAATACTGATATTGGTATATCGTGCGATATATAATAGTGTTGTTGTTGTTGTTGGTGTTATGAGTACAGCACAAAGCTATACTAACCCTGGCATTGCACTGCATTGTGCTGGCTTCACATACAAACAGGAAAATAAATCTTTAAACTGAAGTGCAAGAATTGAACTTTTGATCATATAGAAGGAGCTTTTCAATCTCGTCTGAACGTTGTCATGGAGATGATTTGTGGGCTCTTCTTGCACTTCAGTTTGAACGTCTTCAAATTGAAACTCTTCTCGTTGAGAATGTTTAAAGTGCCCAACGATCGTTCTTGATCAGTGAGGTGGATCAGCGCAGACAGTCCAGTATCCAAAATGTAAATTTTGACGATATCAGACCAGATACAGATATTACATCAGATTTGTCCCATCTATTCTACCAATGATGCTGATGCTGTTGTTGTGTTTCACTTTGTATCTGACCTCGGCTGTGTCGTCGGTCGGTCTGTGTTTGAAACATCGTCAGCAGTTACTCTCTCATGTACGTAAGGTAATATTTAAATGGTTTGGTGTGGTATGTCTTTGACTGTGTTAAAATGTGCACTTGTGACTTGTATTACTAGTGATGAATATTTAAGAGTGACCTGGTTATAATCTTGTTGACTCAGCACTTTATTCTGTCTGTAATGGAAGCTGCTAAGAGCGTTAGGGCTGGGAATCTTTGGGTGTCTCACAATTCGATTTCGATTGTTGGGGTCACGATTTGTTTCAGAATCGCTTTTCAATTCAAAACTATTCTGAGTCCATGGATTCAGAGTCTGTATATGAATGAGTACATACTTCAGAATCAACTCAAGTCGTCTGTGAGACTGGCTCAATTTCTTGTTGCTCTATTTGGGATTCTACTGAGTGAAAGAGCTAGCCTTAGCACTTTATGTTATAAAGTTATGAATCAATATTAAATCTTAGAAGAATCTAGATTTTTCCCACCTCTGAAGAGCACCAGTCAGGGATCACTGTTTTTTCTCCAAGGCTGCTACACTCAGTGCCTCTTACCTTTTTATCTCGTTAGCTTTCTACGTTTAGTCTTTTGTCTTGCTCTCTTCTTTTAATGCCTTGCTGCAAAAGCAATCGCTCTTCAGGAACAGAAAAAGTTGAAGTTGAAATTTATCCGAGCCATATCCATTGTTTTTTACTCGAGCTACAGCAATATGTTATAAATATTGACACACATACAACAGCTGCCTCCAAAACAAACAAACAACCAACTGACTGAGGTATAGTGGCTTAACCAGATTTACCAGGTGCACCTAAACTCAGTGCTACAAAACTCTCACTCTAAGTCATTATCTCAGCCACCCTCGATACTTCACACTCTGAGTCTGAGAACATGACAGCTACTTTACTGACTTTGTGTCTTATGTTGAGTCATGTTAGTCAGATACAGATAGAATGCTCGGGGATTTCTCCATAGTGAAGTCTGTCCATGTTTTGTGCCCGTGTTTGTGCTCATGCATGAACTGCAATGTGCCGAAGCACACCTCTTCCAACCATGCCAGGACCAAGGGAGTGTACCGTGCTTAAACACAGATCGGATCACTCACACTAGTCAAACGAACTGGTCTGTGGGGGGTTAAGCGTGCTAAGGCACAGTACGGATAGTCTAGTGTGAGTCTCCGTTAGAGCAGTCGGCGTGCAGTGTGATTGATTACTAACCTCATAAATGTTGAGGGTTAAACTCCAAAAAACCACCAAGACAAGGATCAACAACACCTGTGTGCTTTTCATTGTTGCTCTTTATAAACTGCTGATGAATGTTTAAACTCGTCTAAGTCGTACTGTTTTTTTTTTGGAAATTTAAATGAAAGTTATGAATGATATTTCTTTTGATGCAGCTATTAAAAAAATAATAATTAAAAAAAGCCCAGAGTGCAAGGTTTGAATATTTCTCTCAGTTTGCATCATAAAGCACCGAGGATGTGTTGGAACATGCAAATACAGAACATAAAGATACTTTTCTTTGAAAGTAGAAGTAAAAAAAAAAAAATGGGGGGGAAATAACTTTCCTGTTGAGAAATCCAGTTGCTTCCAGCCTTCACATCACTGCTGTCATACTCCTGACAGTGCTGCAAGCGTCTCTATTTCAACTCGTTCCAGGGCTGACTGGTGTGCTTCTTTGAGCTTCGAGCAGAGGTGCAAACACGCAAAGTTTGGCAGCGAAGGGAAGGGAATCTTGGGACATCTGATTCTGGAGGTGTGAGTCTTTGCCAGGACCGCAAGGATCACATGAGAAGCCCTCTATATGTGGCACATATAACACTTTATTTAATATGCTTACAAAGATAACTCACCGTATAGTATGTGTAAATCTAACAGTTTAAACATCTCTAGAAATCATTGTTCAACATCCTGCTGGCCTACCTGAGAGTGAGAGCTGATTCCATTCAGACCAGTGCTCTATGAGCAGTCATTCTGGCTTACAGGCTGATGTTGAGTCCAGCTTATTACAACCCAGCTGAGCTGGAGAGTGAGCTCCTCTCTGACCGTGTCTGTCCTTCCCTGTGGGAGTCTGACCCCGCCTCAGGAGATCACAGCAGAGGTGGAGTATGAGTCCTGACTCAGACATGGACCAGGGGAAAGGTGTACTGTGTTGTAATGTGCTTAAATCAGAGCTATAAATAGACCACTAGGTACAGAGGTAATTTGCCTGAACTGTAGTGATGAATAGATTTCAGTCCCTCCCAGTGATGGTGGGACTCAAAGGTTAACGGTCAAAGGTATCACTCACGACAATCGACACGTGTCCAAACAGCATACGACGCAAGTGAGCGTCAGCGACCAAATCAGCTTGATTCAATCGTTTCCCATTTAAGTGTCCTAACATCCTGCAAGCGCCGCAGTGCCAAGCTGCATGACGCAACGCCCTGTTTTTAGTTTCCAACACCAGAGAAAACGTTATTCAGTTCAAAGCGTGACGTTTTGTTGACGAACTACACAGACGACCAGGGACGAGACATACCTACAGCGAATTGAATTCACTTTGGGCTCAGATGATCGGCCTAACATGGCCTTAAGAAGATATGAAACACTGAAAGAGTGTTAGGAATGATCATATGACTGCTGCCAAGTTCACGAGCCACCGTGTTTATGAATAGAATTAAGCCAGAGTTCAGTCTTCACTGAAGTTACTCTCTCTGCGTCTCAGCATCGCCCTACATGAAGCAGCCTGCTGGTTCCTCTGTGATCAGAGCGGCTCGTACTGTACGTATGTGATTTTTCTCCTGATAGCAGATGCTCTCTGTTGTGTGGCGTCGTCATTAGTGTTGGCTCTGTTATCTGCAGCAGTGTTGGGTCACACAGCACCATGGGAACAGACTATCATTAGCCCCCCGATTCAAAGAGTTCAACCCCTGTTAGAGCAGTGTGTTCTATCTGTTTGCTCTTAATAAGATCACAGGCCAAGCTTCGGGGGGAACATACAGCTATTAGACAGGTCAATAAATGTCATTGGTTTATGTTTTTTTTTCTAGCTTATGTAGTTTGTGCCAAGGCTCTTTAAGTGCCTCCCTGCAGCGTTTAAATCCATAATCATAATATGATCTCTATCACAGATTGTATCCCTATGTGTCCACTAAAGCCCTAAAACGATCAGCTTTGGTTCAGTACAGTTTGGTACGGTAAACCATGATCTTGCTTGTTGTTTCCACAGCCAACCGTACCCTTACTTGTTTCGCTGTCAGACTCCCACAAAGCCAAAACATATTCTCTCATGTTTGACCACGAAAACAGATTAGTGTTTGTCCAACATGTGACTTCCTCTTCCCAATAAAAATCCTCCTCTCTGAATCAGAAGTTAGGTGTTCTAGATGTCAGCATTAAATTGTTGGGACACAACAGATACATATCGGCCACTGATAATGGTTCTTACCACATTAGGGCAGTCAACAGGGCTGATATCGGCCGATACTGCTGCGTCGGTGCATCCCTACCTGCAGGACCGATAGGGTTAAAACACAATTTAAAGCTATTATTAAGAATGCATACACACAAAAAATTAAATACAAGCAATGCACCATGGCACTTTAATAAAGGCGTTTTATTAGCCAGTGAAATTCGATGAATTCACAAAGTTCTTTTTCCCTTTTCTTCGTCTCTGTTCAAACAGCTTGTTTGTTACTCTCATATTTTCTGAACTTTTGATGTCACATTCCTTTTGATCCTCTCTTCTTTGGTCGTCTTCAAAGAATGTCCTCCTCCTTGTAACCTCGACCTTTTGTGTGCTCTGCATCCTGCTCAGTCACTTTGTAATATAACGTCCCTGAAAGACTCCCTGACACATTCTGAGGCCTTTTTTTAAATTTTTTTACTTCAGCAATCTTTAAACTAGAAAAACTAGAGACAGCAGCTGGAGGTCTGTCTCTGTTGGTCACACAACTCCGTCACTTCTTTTGGAGTGAAATCATGCATTCATGCTGTCAAATGAGTCTTGATGTGGGACCTGCAATAGAGGTCTCCTTCTTTCAGTCCTGATGGGTTCACATGGACAGTGAATGAAGTAGATTCTCTGAATGAACAAAACATAAACTAATTTCTGCGTCTCCTTTCCTCCTCTCTCTCCTCAGGCTGATTTTGGCTGCAAACAGAGACGAGTTCTACAACAGGCCGTCCAAAGCTGCAGACTTCTGGGGGACCAACAGTGAGATCCTCAGTGGTGAGACCCTACATCAGATTCCAGATCACAAGCCATCAATGAAATAGAGAAAGAGCTGGTTGAAACCTCTTCCTGTTCCTCTTTAACAGCAGATAATTAGTCAATCAAACAGCAAGGCAGACCATTTACTAGGAAGCAGACGACTTCCTTTTGAGGCTGGAAGGCTCACGAAAAAACATCACACAAGGATGCAATGAGCAGGCGACAGGCGATATGTCCAGCTCAACCAATATGTGCTTTTTAAATAATGGTGGTAATAATAATAGCTTGTATTTATAAAGCGCCATTCCAGGGACCCAAGGATACTCTAGAATCCAAAACAGCCCACATTTATTTGAGAGTATTTCACATTCTGTCCATAGACTGTAAATATTAATGGACCAAGCCTGAGTGATTTCACCCATCGGTTACTGCGAGGGGCTTTGGAAGCGTGTCAATGGTGGTCTCCTTGCTGGAAATGCTGTCTCACCCTAACTCTAAGTCAACCTAACAACAGGCTGAGAGCCGAGGCGGATTTTGAGCCTCCTAACGAACCGCTTCAACCATAAGCTACACGCCTTATTGATGATGTATCAAAAAATTCACTCCTTGTTCAGTGTGTGCCGATCGAGCTAATCTGACCTATTTTGTTTCTGTACCAGGATGTAAACATGTTTATTTCCTCTGAAAAAAAATCTGCTTTTTTGAATGGGTGTGTATGTGACTTCTGGTGCTTCTGCAGCCAGCCTCTAGTGGACACTCAATGAACTGCAGGGTTTTGCACTTCAGTATCAGCATTCATTTGTCAACACCGGATGTTGCCGCTTTATTCAGTCAACAAGCTTTCACATGAGTGCATTTTGGAAATCATATGCTCAAACGCCAACAGCTATATCAGTCAGGCTCCAACTGTATGATAAACTTTGTAAACAAGAATAAGTTTGATATGTAAGACTTATAAAAAATAACACTATTGGCTTTATGATTTCAGCTGTTTATGACAACAGCTGTGTTCAAGGTTTAAATGCCTTTATACAATCAAAGTAAAGTCTGTCTCCTTCAACCCATAATCCAGTTCTTCTCCACTTCGTCACCAGACATCCCAACCTGCAGTAAACTATATTCACTTGACTGATGTCTAATACACATTGAAGCGGAGGAGGGGGAAATCAATCATCTTTTCTTTCTGCTGAAGGAGGAAACACAGCGATAGCCTCGTTGTTCATCCGTCTCCCCCCTCCCCCCTGTAATAGAGGGGTCAGGACTTCCAGTAGTGGGCCTTTAATTGATGGCTGCTTTTATGCGATGTGACAAGAATGAATGGCTCTGTCTTATCTGCGGGGCTGAGGGGTGTGTGGAGGCTGGGCCCTGAAGGAGACATAGCATGACGAGGAGGGAAGTAAGCGATGCCTCCCGGTGGGATCATGATAGCTCTCCGTTCAACCCCCCCGGGGAGGAAGACCATTCTGCTCTCTTGGTCACTGTCAGTGTAAGTGGACCTGTCTTTATTGATCACCAGGAAGTGCAGCAGACATGCGCCAGGAAGGTTGCTGACGTAACCGGGGGATAAAGGTCTAAATATAAATGAATTTTATAAATTCATAGATAACTTTGGCCCATATGGTATTTTTTTCGAGGCTGCGTAAACATAGTGAAATTAAAATGACAGATATGACAAAGGAGACACCAGACACAGTGTTGGTGGAATTTAGATTATTTGCTCTTTTAGAAAGAGTCGTTTGCCTCCTTATTACTGTAATGATGTGGAAAAGTAGCCAGTCAGTGGTGGTCTTGATTTAAAATCTGGACTTTGCCCAGTCTGAGACCGAGACCTTCAAGAAGTGTAATTGGTCTTTAGTCAAAGACCGATTTCCAAGATCATAACATGCAAATATTTTTCTTCTTGGGTTGTTATTGTTGGGGTAAAGGAGGCGGGGGGGGGCATGTCCTCATAAATCATTATTTTTCATGTGTTTTTAAGATGCTTTTGGAAGAATTTTGCAAGTCTTGTTGTCCTTCTCTATTTGGAAGTCTACCAGTTGAACACTGTCTCAGTTTCCCAAGAACCAAATTACAAAACTCTTTCCTGGAAACATCATAAATATCCCACCATAAATTACACTGAAAAATCATCATGCATTATGTACAGCAGGCGTGTCACTCACTCAGATCCTAACAACGGGAAGGTTGTGGCCGTAACCGGGGGATAAAAATCATACTACAAATGAGTTGAAGTTATTTGTTCTTTTAAAAAGAGGTGTTTTCCTTCCAATCACAGTAATGGTGTGGAAAAATAGCCTGCCATTGGTGGTTTTGATTGAAAATCCAGAGTCCGTCCAGTCTGAGACCGAGACAAGACCGAGTTAAAATACTTTTGATTCTGAGACAAGACCTTCAAAAAGTGAAATCGGTCTTGAGACCAAGACCCGATTTCCAAATACTACAACACTAAAAAGTGTATTTGTTAGATCAATCTGGGCCCTGCTAGTACAATCTTCAAGATCATAACATGCAAATAATTTTGTTATTGTTGGGGAAAAGGAGTGGGGGGGGATGTCCTCCTAGATCATTATTTTTCATGTGTTTTTAAGATGTTTTTGGAAGAATTTTGCAAGTCTTGTTGATCTTCTCTATTTGGAAGTCTACCAGTTGAACACTGTCTCAGTTTCCCAAGAACAAAATTACAAAACTCCTGGAAACATCACAAATATCCCACCGGTGAAGAAAGAGTTATCCTGAGTACTTATTAACTGATATGACCTGTAGGAAACATAAGACTGTTGAGGCCTTGTGCAAAATCTGCAGAACAATAGAAAACTACTACAGTGAATGTGTATAAATGGGGTATTGTGTTCTTGTGGAGTTATGTAGTTATGTAGTTATTAATCCCACAAATCACATTTTTTGTCATGCTTTTCCTCTCTACAGAATTACTTTAAGAATAAAAGCATGTGATGTGTTTGACTTCCAGATGAAGTCTGACAAACATTTCAACTGTGTTAAAAGACATTAATTCGTCTACATTTCTGTTCACCAGGCCTGGACCTTGAATATGGCAAAGAAGGAGGGACATGGCTGGGGATCAGCAAGCGGGGAAAGCTTGCCGCAATCACCAACTACTTGGAGGGACATCCCAACCCTGACGCACAGGGGAGAGGTGAGCAGGCCATGAGACCCTCACAGATATAAACACTGACTGCATGTAAAGGCCCTGACACACCAAACACCAACCGCGCTGCCCAAAAGCAGGCAGACGAGGGCCGACGGGTAGCGACGCAGTTGGACACACCGCAAAAACTAGGCCGCCGATTGCTCATCGTCGGCCCTCTTGGTGTGTCAGGGCCTTTAGATCAAACCTCTACAGTTACCTGTATTTGTATCTGGCATGTTGCCTTCAACTATTCAACAAAGTAGTAGTTCCTTAAACACTTGAAATCCTCTCATTTGAAGATAATAATGATGGGGGAACCGTTTCTTTAACTTGTTCTGATCTGCAGGGTTTCTAGTGTCCAACTACCTTATGGACAAGGATCAGGACTGCTACTCATACCTTAAGAAGGTGTCGACAGAAAGCCACGTGTACAACGGCTTTAACCTCATCACAGCCGAGTTCAAGTGAGTAAAAAAGGTTTTAAATTTCTCTACAAGTAAGCAGCTGTACACTCGCCGTGATAAAGTTCACAAGTCGGGATGAATATGTTGTACAGGCGGAGAAAGCTGTGAGATGTTAAGCCATGTTCTGTGTGGCTGTCATGAAGAGGAAAGAGAGATATCTGTGCACCAAAGTGTTTTAAATCTGAGCGTGTGTAGAAACGTGTTGTAGCTGCATCTCCGTTCCTCTGAATGTGTCTTCATCTCTCCTGTGCTCAACACACGGAGCCGAAGAGAAATCTCAAATGCTGAGCTGTGGAGGAGCCTGCATTAAAATTCTAAAGAAGCACCTGTTCATGTTCAGGGTTTCAGACAAAGAAAATCTCAACAGCTTTAAAAAATAAGAGGGTTTTTTATTCTTTTCTCCTCCTTCATATTCACCCACCAGCCTGACTCGGCTGAACGTGGTGATCTGTTTCAGGGAGGAAAAATCTAAGAGGGATCAGTGCACACCAGGATAGCTGTCATGCTGGAGGCCCCTGTAGACAATTGGCATGAAAACGGCTCTTAGTTTCTGCCAGCAAGAGGTTGGAGGTGTAGCTCCAACACACACTGCTACCAAACCTAGTCCCTGATGGGGGAAGAAGAAAATCCGGGTTTCCAATGCGGACTCTGGTGTCATGACCCATGTATCCTGGTAACGTGGCCCCAAGCAGGATCTCCTCTCAGAGGGCCTGTGTGTCTTTCTTCCTCCACATATTTTAGCATCACTTTAAGGTCAGATGGATACATTTTTTTTTCTGCTGTATGAGACCTAAAATATAATTTTACAAAGTCCAATTGCAGCCAATAATAGCTGTCTACCTTCAATAGAGCTCAACAGTGACCACCCACTTTTTCGGTGGCTCTGGTTCCGGAAGTAAATTTCCCCATTCAAATCCTTTCTTGACATTTCACTAAATCCTAATATCAAGAGATTGAAGCCTGAAACCATGACAACCAGCTACCCCGATACTGGGGACTATAGTACATTTAATTCGGCACCAACACGGCATTCAAAAACGAGAAAAAAAGGCAAAGGTACAAGACTGTGTACATCATTTCATCTGGAGTCAAGAAACTACACATCCCACAATCCATTGCAAATGAGATCGTTCCTTCTCAAAAGTAACTTCAGTCGTTGTTATAGTGTTTCTACTGTTAATATAAGTGTTGTACTATGTTGTAGTTTGTGTTGTGATTGTAAACTCTATTTCCTCTTCAACATGTTTAAATGTTTCCAACTGTCACAGAGCTGCCTGCACGGTCACAGACGCCACATATCGACCGAACGAGCATTGTTTTATGGGTTAAAGTTAAGAGACGATTGAATAGATGCTGTCATTTTCTTGAATTCCATAAAAACAAGTCTCAAAGCAGGAATGTCTGCACAGGATTGCATAAAAATATCCGCCTCACTCCAGGAATGTCGGTGTGATTGAACCCTTTGAACCCCCCGAGATGAAACAGCAGCTTAAAGATATGCAGATGTCCTTGTTAAATCCAGGAGCTGCAGTCGCGCCTTCGCTATCTCATATGCATTCCTCTTTAATGTGACGATGAGGTGCAACCCCACGCTCAAGAGACACCCGCATATCATAAACATACAGTGTATGGTTTTTTTCCTGCTGGATACGTGTTTCAAAGAGATGAGCCTCAGTGATAGAAAGATTCTCTTTCATAAACACAGTCATTACCAGCATGTTTGTTTTCCCCTGTTTCCAGCAGCCCAGAGGAAATAAGACATCTAGTTTCTGTCCAAATCAATAAGTGCATCTGGTGGAAGGAGAGGAGCTCTGTATTTCCAGTAGAGGATTTCTCGTTAGTCAGAATCCACACAGGTGATTTATGGTGTCTTTGCAACTTTCAGGCTTTGTTTGTCTTCACACAGCTGTTAGACGTCATGCTTCCTGTTCATTGATATCAAACAAAAGGGTGGGCAAACTTTACCCGCATGGGAATCAGATCAATTTAGCGACCTTTTAGGGTGGTTCACATTAGTGCGCCGGGCCTGGATCCGAGTACACTTGACTCCAAAGTCCGGTACATTTGATCAGTTTGAACACAAATGTACCATACCATACTAGTCTGCAACCGTGGACGACTATATGACTTAATTCTAAACGTCTCCTGTCACTTCCAAAACTGTTGTATCCGTGCAGCACGGGCCTGTTTCATCTTCTGACTGGCACGGTAGATGTAGAAGTAGGAAGAGGGTCGTTGTTGGTGTCTCAGAAATAACAAAAATATCCAAAGTCAGCAGGAAGGACTCAGCCTGTGAGTGGATGCCATGGTTGCTTATTCTTCTTCTTTCTGCTTCTTGGCGGATTTGCATACTAACTGTGTGCATACTGCCACCTGCTGTATCGGACTGGGAACATATATGTACTCGGGTACGGAACGATGTTACAGTACTAACTAAAAAGTTGAAAATGGCGCTGGCGTTGTCAGTTCTTGGTCTTTTAGTGGAAAAAGAAAAGAAGAGGCGGAGGCGACAAATAAGGAGAAACCACACTACAATTCACAATGCACTAATGGGTGAAAGCATGTATACTACAGAGGCATGCTCAAGGGGCTTTCCTGAACCTGAGAGGAGAGCTGGAGAGAAATGAAATCAGAGTGATTCCTCTCACCGACCGCCAGTCCAACTAGGACCGACATCCAACGATCTCCGTGGTGTGTCAGGGCCTTTAGGTGAACGCAGACCAGCGGAGGAGGGGGGGGGAGCAGTCGTGCTCGGGCACGGTCCAAAACAATCTTGCCTCATGTAAAAACACCCTTTAATAATACTAACTATAACTATGACAGATTGAGTTGTATTTCTCGTCAGTGGCAGCCTGGTGTTTCCCAGAGCACGGTACTGGGCCTCCCCTCAAAGGCGCTCATGTCAGATCTATTTAAATGTCGAAATCAGATATTCTCAACTTGATGCTCTCAAGGCTCCATATCAAACATTTCATCTGATGTTCCTATAGCTTCTGGTTTCAGATCCCGCTTCATGTCACTCTCGCTTCAAAGTCAGTGCTCACAGATGATCCATTTTAATGGATATCTCCTCTGATGTTTGCCTGCGAAAGAAACGCCTCGCTTGATGCACTTTTAGTCAAGCCGAGTGCGGCTGCTTTATGAAAACAACTTTAGAAAGTGGTTCAATCTGATAGCCTCAAACCATGTGCTGTAGTTCTTGGCAGAGACGTGTTTGAGATGTGAAAAGAAAAGCAGATATGCACATTCCAGTGTATCAGGGGTGGATGAACTCTGAACATTTTAAAGAGGAAATAACTACAGGTGTTTACTTTTCAGAAGCGCTGAGATAACCTTTGGGGAAACCACTCTCCTTAGGTAGAACACAACACCATTTGTTTCACCGAGTAGAAGTAAATGGGGATTCAAACCCTCAAAAGCTCAAATAGCATGCATTATCCATTGGGTCAATCCAGATGTTTGAAAATTGCCACAAAATCAAAGTATTGTTGATGTTGTCTTTGGAGGTCAGCTTCCCACAGCATCCAATCCCACCCGATTCCTAGACTCATTTTGATAACGTTTGATTACTTTTCCAAGGCAGGTCATCTTGTATTTTATTCACACAGTTGTGTATGAAAATAATCTGGTTCTAATGTATGTATAAGTCAGCAGTCACCATCAGGTCACATACAGTAACCAGCTCTTTCCAGACTGATTTTTTCCCCTCAACTAAGCTCAGCCGTCATCACGTCTTTGTACATTCATATTGATTCCATGAAGGTGTGAAAATCTTGTCCCAGTGTTTGAATGCACATTGCGTTTTAGCCTTTGCACAACACAGTGGGAGCTTCACATACACACACAGTCAGACATTGTTACGACCAGCCCAGAGGGAAACCAGCCGTAACATAAAAGTGACCCTTCCCTTCCTCACTCCCAGTGATAAACACAATCTTATTTATTTTGAGCAATAATCAATTTTTTTTACAATGTTCACAAAATTATTTTCAGCACCAGCCTCGGTCCAATCACTGGCCAGCGCTCACCGCCAGCTTTTCCCCAATCGAGGGCGGGCACCTGCAGCACAGCACAGAGACAGACGCACAAACAAGACAAAGAACACAAGGCAGACTCTAGTTATAATCTAAAGTATGGATCAAAGTGGATATTTGATACAAGTCAACAAAAATCCTTCTGTTTGAATCACGGATATCACAGAGTCATCTTGACTCACACAGTTGTGAAGTTAGCATGACTGATAACAAATAGACCCCAAAATAAATGAACCCCCTGATGTAGCCCCCCCTCCCACCTTAGCGAAAACACCCTCATTACTCCTTATGAGTGTCTCATTTTTTTTTATCAGTTCCTCCAAGATTTTTTTATTTATTTGTTTAGATTTTTTGTTTCCATTAAAACAATAGAATTCTTGGGATGCTGGTGGCGCAGTGGTTAGTGTGTGCGCCCCATGTATGGAGGCTATAGTCTTTCAAGCGTGCGGCCCAGGTTTGAATCCCGACTGTGGCTCCTTTACGGCATGTTATTCCCCACTCTCTCTCTCTCTCTCTGATTTCCAACTCTATCCACTGTCCTATCTCTCCATTTAAAGGCACAAAAAGCCCCCCCCAAAAAAACCTTCAAGAAAGCATTTGAATTAATTTTGGTCTTTATGAATTAGAAAATTAAGCCTTAACATGCCAGTTTGTATCTAAAACCATTTATCTTCATTTGAAGAAAAAGAATATGTTTAACATACTGACATGTAATGAGATTATTTTATGATTATTATCCAAGTCTTACATCAGTCAAAGATAACTCACAACATTTATGTTGGTGCAATGTCCTTTAATGGTCCTTTAATATCCTCCTGTGGCCAAATTATGGTCATGCCCGCCCCCCCTCCCCCTGGTTTACGCTGCACCTTCATACACCTGAAAACTCAAACTCCTGCTCTAGGCAGCGTTCTTTCGATTTTCTCTGCACTGAATTTTGTTCTGGAGAAAGGAATGTTGTTTGTTGGGCAAGAGGGCAGGAGTTCATGTTGAAATCTAAGTTTACATGGAGGGGATTGAACTTCTCTTTGATCGGTTTACATGAAAGACAAACGCTCCCCGTTTCATTGGCTCTGGCTTGAGTATGTGTGTGCGCGCAGGCTTTCTATTCCCGGGGCGTGTGTGAGCGTGCACCTCCATAACGGCATCGGGAATCAAATTTAGAATCACCTTCATTAACCTTTAGTTCAATGGAGATTTTTAAAAAGTGTGGTGGAAGTCAATCTGCCAATTTTTGGCATTCATCTGTGTGTTTTATTTCACAGTGTAGAAAAGTGTTTTCATTCATTTATTAGAGATCCAAACTTCAATAATTGCGACCCACGCAGGAGGAGGGCACATCGGTTAATGTGTGCATGTGTGGGAGTAGGAGAGTACATGTTACCCTGGAGTCCCCCCCACCCCCCTCCAACATGCCTATCTACATTCTGAACTGATAATGTTGGAAACTCATCCAACCATCTCCAGGCAACTACTCCACAGCTGGCGATGGGGAAACTGCTCTGCAGCTCCAACATAGAGGACTCTTCATTAGGACGCCTCACAGCCAGCATACTGATTACCTCTCAGACTCAGATCTTCTCCTCCCTCCTCCTCCCTCTCTCTCTATCTCTGCCCGCTGGCCTTGACCTCCTGCTGTTCCCTCATCTCTGCCCAAAATCAACCCACTGCACACCTGACAGGACTTTCAATTCATTAGCCAGGTTCAGCTAGAAGAAATGGAGCTGTCTCCCTGTAAGTCCTCCGTCTGCCTCCAACAAGTCAATTTGATGCATGTGTCAGGCAGAGTGGATATGTGTCTCTAAGCATATCACATACTGTTGAGTTCAGATCAGACAGTGCATTTGCTTTGTGCAGAACAGGAAGGAGCTCCGCAGATTCCTAGATTTCCCCCCCTCAGGTTACAGCACCATCTGGTTCTCAAAGTGCAGCTTCTTTGCATGTGTGATGTTGACTTCTGTCACCAGAGTCAACATAGGCCAGCGCTTCATTGTTAATAGAAACCAAAGGAGTTCAGAAAAGGAGTTGTTTATTCAGACTCTTCGACTGGATTTTAGGTACAGGCTGGAAACCATGTGAAGGTCTTTGATTAGTTGTCAGAGAGACGTTGTAAAGTCTGCCCTCAGCTGTGTGGATTCTGCTGCAGCTGTTTAGACACATATTGTCCTACGTCCAGAATAAAGACTCTGCTCCAGGAGATTAACACGAGACAGATGAGATCCTGAGCAAACCCTGATGATGACCTAGTCTGCACGCAGGCAACAAGTGATGTTTTCACAGATTCTTTGCAGGCAGTGTGAGAGGAAGTGTGAGGGTGTTACAGTACTCCCTCAGTCTCTGTTTGCTGAGGTTGAAAAGAAATGAGGATGTCCCAGAGGAAAGCACAGAATAAACTAGGATGTACAAGAAAATACACTGACAAATCAGATGGTTTGAGATCCTTTTAATTAGTCCTGTCAACACCTGCATGTTTAAATCCACAATGCAAACTTGTGTTGTCATGTCACGGCGTCTCTTACATCACTCTGTCTCTGTAGTAAGTACACCCCATAGATGATGATCCTCACTGCTTTGATAACATTCAGCAGAGACGCACGAGAAGCATTTCATCATGTGAATTGTTAGCAAGTCGACTTAGTGCTTGGTGACAAATAAAGCAAATAAATGCAGTTCAACTTGCCTCTTGATTAGAACTTGACTGATTAATCTTCCAGCTGATAATATCGGCCGATATCAGCATATGAAGTGGCTATCAGTTATCTCAGATGTGCGCCGCTATTAATAGATTTATTAACCATTCAAAAAACTTTCATTTGAGTTTCATTAGTTTTCACTAGCAGTTCTCTTTCACCAGCAGAGGGCGCTATATGGATACCCACGAGCATCATCACTCTCCAGTGCCAAGAGGTGATTGATATTATTGTTGTAGTACTCCAAATCGGTCTTGGTCTCAAACCACTTTCTGATGGTCTGGGTCTCGTCTCGGAAACGATAGCAATTTTATTCGGTCTTTTCTCGGTTTTAGACTGGGTGGACTCTGGATTTTAAGCCAAGACCACCACTGAAAGGCTATTTTTTCCTCGGCTTACGTCCTCAACCTTCCAGGTGTCGCGTTCTGAGTAAGTGACAGGCCTGCTGCACACTTGGAGTTGATGATTTCATTGATATTTATGGTCTTGGTCTTGACTCGGTCTCGATCCCTAAATGTCTCGGAGCACTCTGTTCTCGGGTATGTCTTGGTCTCGGTTAGTGTGGTCTTGACTACAACACTAATGCACATACAGTACAAATTCTTTATCTTTATCTATCTATCTCTACAGAGCTCAGAAAGATATCGGTATTCAATTTTTTTCTCTTCCTAGTATCGGTATCAACCCCAAATGTCCCATATATAAGTTGGGCTCTACTCTTGATACTGGTTTGGTAGCTTGTACTTTTCTTCTAATCCAGGCCTTCATACACTTAATGTCTGGACTCCAATGAGAAGTCTTCACTTGACTTTGTTTGATTGCCCAACAGTTTAAATCTATATCTACAGTAATATAAACAATCTTGTGTCGGATGATGAATAACACGTTTTATCCTGTTTCATTTAAAATGTTGTTTTCTGTTGGTCATAAATCATTGATGTAATGCCGACGCTCTAAACATTAGATATTTTTTGTATCAAACATTGTCTGCTTATCCTGCTACTGAATACGCTTCACACCAAAGGTTGGCTTTCAAAACTATCCAAAGTTTTGTGTCTGAGCTCAAAGCCCGGCAGCTCTATCCGCTCTTTTCTTGCCAGTTCTTGACTGGGAAACTTTCCAAGTCCGATGTCGAAGCAGTGTTGCACCACATTTCAGATTTGACTGATGCCACTGCTACGGCTGTCATAAAATTGACATAAAAATAAAATAATAATTCCCCCGCCACTTCAAAGGATTTGGTCATAACTTATTATTCACTCTCCTGTACCGAGGCCGTCACAGATGCCCTTGATGTCAGGTTGATGTCAGAAGGATTTCTTAGGCTGAATAAATTCCCTCTAACTGAGGACTTTGCAAAGACATCTAGCACCGTCACTAATGTGTTTTGTGCTGGTCGATGGTGTTTGCAGCACTCATTTGTATTATGAAGCCTTAATTCTACCCTGTTGTTCCTTTGGGACAGATTTAACCATGGTGCTCTGTGTTCCTCCCAGGTGGTAATGCCTCCACAAATGAAATGGACGTCCCTTTTGCCAACGACCCTCAGGATTGCTTCTGTTAATAATCATCCTTTTGTTTTCATGAGCGTTGAAGCACAAGGACTCCAGACAAAGCTTTTATTATGAGACAAAAAACGTTAAATCGCCACCGAATACAATCTCTCATTTCCATCTTTCTGTGTCCCATGCAGAGCCGAACAAGACACTGTGTGTTACTATGGAAACAGAGGCAGCCCTGAACCCATCCATCTAAAACCAGGTCTGTGTTTTTAATGTGGTTGCTGTAGAAACCGTTCATTGCACATGCACCTCTCCTCTTGGCCTCTGGCCTGTTCTTTTCAGCGTGACATTACAGTGGAGATTTTGCTCCCAGATTGTCTCTTCATTGGAGGAAGTCAGACACAGAACTTACTAGCATTTCTGGATTTTTTTTCTCCTTCATGTGCCCCTCAACAGGAGTGTACAGCTTGAGTAATTCGTTGCTGGACACTCCATGGAGGAAACTGCTGCAGGGAAAGCGACACTTCACCAGCGTCGTCAACGATCAGTCGCTGTCCTGCGACGGCCTGGTGCAAGAGCTGCTCGGCGTCCTCAACAATGAGGATCTGTAAGTCATGAAAATGTTTTTTTTTACTAATGATGCCTCTGTATGACCTGTGGAAGCAAGCAAGACTGTAATCGCCATGAAGTAAAAGTAAAAGACATGACTTAAAACGAATGGCGTGGAAGTCACGGACGAAGCAAACGACGCTTTAATGAGAATATTTTCCTTTAGTTCATTTTGTTTCGAAACCCCTGTTAAGATCTTTGAGTCAACATGGAGGTTTGTTAAAGTACTTCTGATGATCGGAGGTGATTTCTGTTTGGTTGTGGTTTCGTCCTGCACTCCATCACAAAGCCGAGTTCACCCTGAAAGACGTCGAACTCAACGGGACAAAACTGTTTAATGTTTTTCACACCTGATAGAAAGGAGAGTCCGATTTGCAGAACGTGCAACAGAGATGAGTTCGCAGTAGACTTGACCTAAACTTTTATTCGGAGTCTACAGTATTAGGGCTTTCACACTTGCAGAATACTCCTGAAAAAATCCTGATATTTCCCAGAGGAGCTGAACATATGAATGCAAACAGCTGAATTTGCCGATCAGACTTTCTCCTGACAGACCTTTAGTATTTTGTCTGCAGCAAATCAAAGTAAGCTGATGTGAGAACGCAGCAGGATATTTTCCGGAGAATTCAGCTTGAGCCAATAAGAGGGGGGGGAGTGATGTTTATAAACTGTGACTGCTGCACGGTGCATAGAGTGTCTGCAAGCGACGTCTATGATCTCTGTGCTCTAATGAACCTGCTGCATTATGTTTCCTGTTCTCCAGTATGTTCTTCTCCTCACTTTAGTTGATTTTATCATTCCGTTGAACTACTCGTAGCAATGATATATAGGTATATATTCTCATTATAGCATCGTGTAGCGGACTCTGTTTTCTGCCTGAGAAACTTTCAGTAAGAGAATTGAGTGAGCTGTGAGTTTGGAAACTAGCCTGTTTCTAGAAGTGTTGTTTATACACAACACCATTCATGGATATTGCAGATCAGCTGACTCTAAAACACTGCACTAAAGGCTCTTAAGCTTCTCTAACAGGTGTCCTCTGGGTTTGTTATTTTAACAGGAACACACCTGATCCAGCTCTTGAGAGCCAGGGGGACGGTTACAGCCTGTCCATGATCCAGGCTCTGTCAGCAGTGTGTGTTCGCTACCCTCATTATGGCACAAGGTAAGTGTTCTCCTCCTGGGTCAGACACTGACCGGTAGCCAAAAAGTCAGAGGGTCGGCCTTTGACGAAGCCACTTAAGTACACTTATACGATTATAGAACATTTATGTGTAACGTCTGCTCACACGCTACGACTGAATCGTTTACAATACACGAAAAAAGCTGCCCGGCTCAAATAGACACATCGTTAAAATATCTCTCTCTCTCTCTCTCTCTCTCTCTCTTTCTCACACACACTCAGCATCACAGTTAAACAGAAGCTAACTCGCAGCTAAATTCAACAAAAATTGTAAAAAACAAAAATTCCCTGTCCGCTGGAGGCCCGCAGATAAGATAAGAGTCCTCAAGTTAGGGAATCGTCTTGTGGCTCTGCTCTCGCTTTCCAAGTGTGTAATAAAAAAATGTCAAACATGCCATAAATCCATCCAACCGGTCGGGAGCAGCTGATTGGCCCGTGATCAGCAGTCGTGCCTCAGTGTTCATGCGTGTGATCAGACTGGAATTTGGCCCGCCTTCAAAATCAGTCGTATGACTCAAAGATCTGGTGCAAATTGGCCTGAACTTGTACAGTGTACACCAGCTTAAAGTGTCAAGATGGAGATCAGAACCTGGCTCCATTCACACCCAGATCTGCATTTAACAATTGAACTTATCGATACTGCTATCGAGTCATGGGGTTCTGCGATTTATCACGAGTTGAGTCACATTATTTAAACAAAATCCCCTGGTGCACAAACACACATCTATTGGCTAAAAAAAGTTTTGAATAAACTTGAAATGCCAGGAAACAAGATCATCAGTATTGTGTTTAAAGTGAAACTGTCCTGTGAAAAAACTCTGTCATCTACGACTGCTTCTGCTGCTGCGGGATCCTCCTACACTCAAAGCAGCCGTGGCAAGAGCATCCAAACGTTGTAGCTTCATTTAAAAATAGTAATTTAATGTTGTAGTCTCACTAAAGGAGGTGACATTAGGTTACGTTATGATGTGTTCATGAACATGTAGGTCATGGTAAAACACCTGAATAACTACATTTGTTTGAAGGAGAAATGTGTTCGTTTTCCATAATGATCGTTCTTGATTCAGGTGTTTGAAATCCCTCCATCAATGTGAAACTGTGACTCTGAAAATATCATACTGTCCTGTTTAAGAGGCCTCCTGTCTGTGTTCTTTGATTTCTCATGATCTTGGTGGTTAATTGATGTTTTTGTGTCCTCGCCTGTGTAGGACTAACACAGTAATCCTGATAGACGCAGAAGGTAACGTGACCTTCACAGAGCGCACCATGCTCAACTGTGACACCAGCAAGTGGAGCACCAGCTCCTTCCAGTTCACACTGCAGGACTGAAGACATGAAGTTAACCCACTCTGTGCCTTTCTGCATCACTACTACTCCTCTTCCTCCTCCTCTCTCCTCTTCCTCTTTCTCTTCCCCTTCCCCCTCCTCCTCCTCTTCCTCCCCCCTCCTCCTCTTCCTCCTCCAGCTGCTCGTCACTGAAGACCCGTCTGCACTTTTCTAGTGTGCAGCAGAAGCTGCCTCACAAACATCGGTGAAACGTATTTCTTAGAATTGGTTTGAGTCAAGATGCATCTTTTGAAAATGTGTGCTAATTTACAAGATTGCCAAAGACTATTCAGGATTTTGTAGTGCAACATATGTTAGCTACATGTAACCAAACAGCAGGGTTGGGATGCTTTAAGAACTCGGATCCATTACAGACTGCCGTCATGCACGAGGTTAGTTATTGCAGTCTAATTTATTTGTGTTGGTGTCCGATTATTTCCTTTAAAATCGATGATAGAGCAACAATAAAAACCTGTAATTTAAAGTAAAAATCCAGCTAATTATCTTTTGCTTCACACTGTAGGAATCGTCAGGTTATTGTTTTTTTACGGGGTGATATGTAATTTGTTTTAATTTCACAGTAATCATCATAGATTAAAAGACAGATTGTGTTTCTGATAACTGTAACCTTCTCACAGGTGATTCATTATCAATTATTTTGGGCACCAACCCTGCACTACAACCCAGTATATTCCAGCAGTCAGTTTTATATGCAAATAGATTCAGACAGTGGATCTGGGACAGGGTCCAGGGTGGAATAATGCATTATTCAGCTGCGTGACAATAAAAACAATCATTCAAACGCTCACATTTGCCTTGCTTTTATTATTATTATTGTTGTGGACGTAAATACTCAAACACAGTGTAACACAAATTGTTAGCCACAGATGTCCATACGCTGCCAATCAAATGAGACAGCTGGCTCTGCCTGATGTATTTAACTTCTGTGTCCTGTTTCCTAACCACATACTTTATACTGGCGGCTGTGGCTCAGTGGTAGAGTTGGTCATCTCACAAACAGAGGGTCAAGAGTTCAATCCCCAGCTCCTGCAGCCACATGTCCGATGTCTCCTTGGGCAAGACATTTAACCCCAAGTTTCTCCCTCTGCTTCATGGGCAGTGTATGAATGGATTAGGTAATACTGATGGACTCTTTACACAGCAGCGTCTGCCATCAGAGTGTCAATGTGATATAAACTCATTTTCCACAAAGTTTTGTTGGATGTGACAGTTGAAGCAGGACTATAGGTGTTTTCGTACCAAACAGTTCTTGGGAGGATTTGAAGAGGAACTTTCCACGACAGAGTTCCCTGAGAACTACACGCCATGGGGACTGTTCTCTCTGTCTGCATTTGCACCGCCACCATGGTGCCTACTCTGAAGCAGGAGCTGAAAAGAATCCTCTAAACGGGGTTCTCTGAAATAGTTCAATGTTCCTGCATTGCGGAAACAGTAAAAAAAAAAAAAAAAGGAGGAGGGTTCCAACAGTTCCTAGAACTATGAAGACGTTCTAGGGTCCGGAAACTCCTGATGTTGGGAAAAGAGATGCAGGGGTGATGGCAGGCAGTAAAGGTCTGAGGTTGGATTCAAACCCTCGGTCGCTGTGAAGAAGGACATCAGCCTCTGTACATGGGGCGCGCCACATAACTGCTAGGCTACAGCGCTCCCAGTGTGTGAATGTGTAAAAACTCAAGCCCATTTACATTCAGGCTTTAAGACGACTCACATTTGATCTAGTAACCAGGAAAGCACGAGAGCTAGCAGGTGATCTGACTCGTGAATACAGATTGTTCTCGTGCTTTGATCCGCTGTCAGCTGCAGAGCGTTCATGAAGCCTGCTGTTTGTCCCGTGAGGCGCACAGCAGACATTATTCTCTGAAATGTAGCAGGCATTTAGATCAACCGCACACATTTATATCCTTTTATTGCAGTGAATTCCTGTTTTCAGTTCGACAACACAGTATTATATTTAAGTGTGTTTTTTCAACATTTTATAAACCCAGTGATTTAAAAAGAGTGTGCTATAAAGAAAACAACACCCAAAAGACAAACCAGAAAACATCAAGCCAAACAATAAAAAAAAACAAAGAAAAGAAACCCTATTATTAGGTGCAGAAACCTCGGATCTATTGACTCTGTTCCCCTTGTTCAGTCCAGAGTCCAGACTAGATGGTGAATCAGTGCTGCCTGTAACTGGAACAAGCTGCCAGCAGAGATCAGATGTGCTCTGAACATAAACATTTTTACATTTCTCTTTTCATCAGGTGACTTTGAATGAGCCTTCAAGCTTACACTTTATTTTTAATCTGTTATCATTGCACTTCACAAATAATTATTATGTCATCGCATTGCTTCTTAATTGTTTTTATGTCTCTTTTACAAATTATTGTATTCTCCTTGATTTTATGTACTCCTATATTTTCTGAATGTTTATTATGAAATATGTCATTGCATTTAAAGAGACACACACACCAAAACAGAGCGTTCTGAGAGAGCTGGTTTATACAGGGTCACAAACCTCCTCTGGTGCTTGATTCATGTTATATTTTGACCAAAGCACAGCACAGATGTTTCATTTAGACCACAGGAGACTGTTTGAAAAGGTGAGAAAAAGGGGGATAATATGTCCTATTCAATATATTAGTCTTGTATTTGTGAAGTCTTTTCTGTTTAAAGCACATTGAGTTGCCTTTGTGCATGAAATGTAATATATAAATAAAGTTGCCTTGCCTTTTTTATGGAATGCACAACGCAGGAACTATGAACTATTTTAGTTCCTAGAACTCTGTTTAGAGGAACCTTTTTAGTTCCTGCTTCAGAGTGATTACTCTCCAAGCACAAGAATGACTTTGAAGTCTGTGTTCGTTGATTGGTCAAATGCAAGAGCCAATCTTGTACCACCAACCTCCATTTTTAAATCCCACTTTAAATGGTAGTGGATAACATGAAATGACAGCTGGTAAAAAGCTCCTAAAGTCATTAAAAGTGTGTGTGTGGGGAGGCAGACAAAATGGACGGACAAAGAAGTCCAGGTATTATTAAGTGACGTTGCTCTGGATGCTGTTGCCGTCTGACATCACTTTAAGGTTCATATCAGCCACCAATATGGCGGTACAAATGCAGACAGAACAAACTTCACCATAGTATGTACTACTCAGGGAACGCCTGTGGAAAGTTCCTCATCAAAAGGTCCCCACAACTGTTTAATTATGAATGAGCATGCATGACTAAATACATGCTGCATACCCTCTTTTATGTCAACATACTGATAATCCATCCAGCCATTATCTATAGCTCTTTTCCTCTTCGGGGTCGCAAGGGGCTGGAGCCAATCCCAGCTGTCATTGGGCAAGAGGTGGGTTACATCCTGGACTGTTCACCAGCCAATCACAGGGCTGACAACCAGCCACACTCATATTCACACCTACCAACCTAACAAGCATGTGTTTGGACTGTGGGAGGAAGCTGGAGTACCCAGAGAGAACCCCCACATGCACAGGGAGAACATGCAGACTCCACACAGAGAGACTCCTGTTAGACGGGGATTCAAACCAGGAACCTCCTCACTGTGAGGAAATGGCGCTGACCACTGCACCACCGTGCAGCTACAGATAATCCAAACAGATAAAATGTAAAAAAAATAAAAAAGAGAGAGAGAAAGAACAAAGGATCCAGCAAATAAACTGATGAGTGGTGTGCATGTGTGTATCCTCCTCCAGATATTTAAGCTGCTGTTTTTTATTCTGGAGTTTTATTTCCTTCAGTCTATTAAAGGATTCTGCCTTTATTTGGGACAGGCGTCAATTATGTTTAAACAAAAGCCGTGCACATCATAGATGGGACGGACTATACGATTTAGAATTACATTACAAATCACTCTTTTGATCTTACTTTGCATGACAGTATGACACCCTGCTGCACAGCTGGTACACATACGAGCATTATTTGGTCTTTTTTTGACAGAAGTTAAAGTTCATCTTTATGTTTTATGTGTCATGCTGCTTTTATTTTTAATCTAATCTGCAAACTAATCAACACTAAATGCTTCAAGGCCTCTAATCAAGACCTGCCTTTATTTTTTTAAACATGCAGCAACACCAGGCTACTAAAAGGGACTGGGCTTTTATTTTGAAGTTTTACGGTAAGTATGTCAATCATCACTTAGGGGTGGCTGTGGCTCAGTTGCTAGAGTTGGTTGTCTCTCAACCAAGAGGGTGGGGGTTTAAGCCCCAGCTCCTGCAGCTACATGTCCGATGTGTCCTAGGACAAGAGACTTATCCCCGAAATTGCTCCCACTGCTACAGCGTATGTATTTGTATGAATGGGATTAGTTGAACTCTTTAAATAGCAGCCTCTACCATCAGTGTGTGAATGTGTAGGTGTGACCTGCGGTGTAAAATCACTTTGAGTAGACTAGAAAAGAATGATACAAGCTCAAGTCCATTTAAAAAACATTTAACATTGACCCACTGCCTCAGTCTTACATTTGAGAATCTACAGACACAAGATATCAAATGAATGACAGCTTTAGTTTGATCTAATGTCTACTTCACATGATCCTTAGTGTTTTAATGACTTAGATAAAAACATACACAATGATGGATGTGGTCAGTGTCACAGCATCATCTTTAGATTATACAATTTAACTGAACAACACAGGACTCAAGCTGTCGTGCATGAACTGTTTATTTTACTTTTGTTGGTGAATGGTGACCCCCCCTGGTAAGTATAGAAATGGTCATTCAGCTGTATGTGTGTGGCCCTTTAAAAGAATCAGGATATGTGCCAACACACCTATGACCATCAATAAGTGATGTGATCAGTGTTTGACTCTCTGTTGGAGGTGTAGAGATTTGTCTTTGCTCTCGCCCGTGTAGGACCAGAACAATAATCCTGATAGACGCAGAAGGTAACGTGACCTTCACAGAGCGCACCATGCTCAACTGTGACACCAGCAAGTGGAGCACCAGCTCAGGGCCTAAATAAATATTTTTTACTCTCGAACAAGTTCATTCATTTGGACACAGATATGAAAGTCTTCTTTGTGTTGTGGTGATTCTAGAGCCTGTTTGGACCTCAGGAAAAAATATTCCCAGGGGCCCCTCAAATAAGCATTAACCATTAAGTTATAAATAACCCGACACCAACAACGAAATGTAACATTTTCCAAAGTTCATATCAGAATGTTAAAAATAAAAATGTAAAGAACATAAAAAAAATGTAATGCCAATATATGAATATAAAGAAGAATAATAACATCAAAGAACAAACACCAGGATGTTACAATATGTTTCTAACATGTGTCATCACCATATTAAGGACGAGACTAGCAAACTTTTACTATTCTATGATTGAGTGCTGTCAGATGGGGCCCCCTTAAGGAGGTCTCCAGGTTTTCTGCCCTTGAGGGTCGATTACTGGCCTGGGGCCCCGAGCAGTTTCTTGCTTTGCCTGTTGACAAGCAGCACCTCTGGCAGTGCAGCAGCAGGTAAGTTAACCTTGGACATAACAGAACACAGTTTTATTGATTGTAATAGAGCTGTGATAGTGCACTTTAATGCAAGCAACAAATAATCAACAAACATGTCCTGCGCTCAGTGACTTTCCTTTACATATTTTGTGTTTGATGTGTCCGATCCTGTTTCCCAACACGGGAAAAAATTAAATGTTAATTCACATTTATTTTGTAATTTATACAAAACATGCAGAGGTGCAGCTTGTCAACAGGCAAGGCAGACAACTGCTTGGGGGGCCATGCCACATAGGGGCCCCTCAAGGGCTGACAAACTTTAAACCACAGCAGTGTCT